ATGTGGATACACAAAACTTTTAGAACCATTACTGGTTAAATGATGATGGAAAACATCCCACCAGGCTGGCTTGTTAACCCGTAAGATCAGTTTTAAAAATAGACATCACCGAGGTATTTCTTCACCATGACATTTTTAAACCCAACTCACAGTAACTACAGTGGTCTTAGGACCCTCCTCTCTTCCAAGCAAACCAAAAGTTACCTAGGATAGAGGGATGGAAGGATCAATACAGTATATCGTGGTAATGTGCTTCTCGACTTTATCAAGTATTTAACAAACAAGGAGAAAAGAAAAAGACCCCATCAACAGGTTACCTTTGGTAGAAAAGAAAATGAGAACACAAAACAAAAGAGCAACAAACACATACTCCCCCAGTCACTGCCCAGTAAAAACAGTGATTGTTGCAATATCATGGTGATGAACATCCTGCAGAAAGCTATAAATACAATCATGAAGTCAAAAGGATTCTCGTTCCCTTCAAAAATCTGAGGTTTCCAATAACTAGACCTTTGGAATGGCTCTTAAAAGGGTATTATTACCTGTAGACACCCACAATACAGATAAAATATTTTTCTCTTGAAGAGAAAAAAGAGACCTATAGGTTTTTATTTGTAATTAAATTCTCCAATAGGTCAGATTAACCAGTAGTTTTATAATACTGAACAACGTGGTAATGGCATGCATAATTTTTTTTTTCAGGGGGAGAAGTCAGATTGCTAAGAACTACTTAGATTTACAACTTTACTTGCCTAATGTTTCTCTTTTGAGGTCAAACATTTCTCGTGGGAGAAATCCGTTCTAGATTTATGATAACATTTCTTCTCGAGGTAGCTTCCTATCCTACCCATTCCCCACTGGGTTAATACTATTCTTTTCGAGACCTGTCAGGTGCGAACACGAGGTAGATGACTTTCGCCAAAAGTGAGGTAGATAGAAACTCAATAGAAGCCGTCAGTGTGCTGTGGAGTGCTGTGTGTCCTGTGTCCCTCGCCTGCAGGAAGCCAGAGAAAGCCACAGAGCTTGGGCAACACCGGCTCTATGACATCGTCATCTGTGAGTACAAGAGTTTGACTTTTATACAGCCCCAGACTGTTGGAAACTCATTAAGAGTGATGTTTTAAATATACCTTAAATATTCCCTAAATACTTTTTGGCACCACTGGATTTAAAACAAAACAAAACAAAACAAAAACAAAAGAGAAACATGCCTAAAACTTTGGCATATCTTTCACTATCTACCAGAACACAGCAATCTTAGAATCTTCCAAAGAGGAAGACAACACATATACAAATAGTATTCTGCTGCTTCAAGCCTAAAAGACTTTCCTCCTCAAATAATTATTAAGCTTTGGCTTAAGTAGGGATAAATCAGACTGAGCCAATTTCAAGTTATTTCTCTTAATTCAAAGTGCCCTATTTCTGGCAACTTTTTTGGCCCAGCACATAATTTAGATTCTGTTTTATGGTACCCTTGTTATGTGTTTCCCCAAATAAGTTAGACTTAAAAGGGCACTGAGGAGTTAGTGCACTTGGGGTACAGCCCAGGCTGCTGGGCTCTAGTCAACTCAAGTGCCACCTGCCAGCCACAACAGAGCACAGGTTCAGAGACAGGATTGATTCTCGTGACCAAAACTAACACTTTTGAAAAATGTTAAAGTCAGTGTCAACCAAAAGTGGTTTTTACCTATGGGTTATTGGGATTTCCTTCAAGTATATCAATACCCAAACCTGTATATCCAAATCCAATGGGCATCTCCAAACACAAACTGACCTTATATCCCATCACACACCATCCACCTGACCAGATCAGACCTACACAGGTACTGTTGTCTAAACCGTATCACTTCCTAGAAATATTTTATTCTCTTTGCTCACAACACCTAGGACATTTTCACCATGTTGAAGACTCCCCTCTTTGACCCAATTCCTAGCCACCTCAGCACTGCCTCCTGACAGGCAGGAGATGTGCGTTTGAACACATGAATTTCTAACAGCCTCATACCAGAGAGTACCAAATGCTGGCTTTTAACATCTTTGATTTGAACAGACCACATCATACAGTAACACTCTCCAAAGTGCTTCGCACCAATCCCTATGGGTCAGGAGTCAGTCGTGGGCAGCCATAAATGGCCAATGTTTTAAAAACAAAAGCCTCCCAAATGTGACCGTGTTTCTCAAATGCCGATCATGCACCATTCTGGGTGTAGAAGGCAGTGAGATACACCACGATTGAGCACAGAGAGGCAGTTATCTCCCACTTACACACTCGTTTTCAAGGGATGACTCCATTTGCTCTAAGCCTGCACATATTACCAGTCTATTAATTAAGACCTAATAATTTCAGCCAGGGAATGGAAACCCTGGCTTTGCAACCAAATCCACAGTGAAATGTTTAACTTTAATGCTACTCACCAAGACATCTTCTCATTTGGGTCCCAAAATATTACTACACGAGGAAAATTGGAAGGAAAGAAGGGAGTGATGTATGAAAATGAAGAGGGAATTAAAAATCAAAAAACACAGAGAGTAACTGAAATAACTTATCCTAGACATGATCACGATGTACATTTCCGAGAATTTTTATCAAGATCCATTCCCTCAATTAAAAAAAAAAAATGTTTTTCTAAGCATTTAAAACCAGTTGTCTTTAGTATTTAAAGGGTGATTTGTTGGGCTTTTGGGGAGAGGGAAGAAAGATCAGCACCAAGTTGCTCCAAAAAAAAAAAAAAACAAAAAAAAACACCCCAGCAAAAAAGCTTAACTATATTAACTCTTTACTAGTCAAAGAAATTAGAGCTTAGTAGCAAAAAGGCAATTGAATACACATCAGGGAAGGATTCACTATTAGACTTTTCAAAAAAAAGAAAAGGAGCTTCTATCAAGATTCCCTAATTCCTTCCCTCCCTGTAAGGCAGCAGCTGAGAGCCATCTGAAGCTACTTTTCAACTTTTCAGCATGCAGGGCTCCTTTGCAAGATGGAACACCCTCCCTTCTGCCCGGATCTTGGTTACTTAGAAACCCTAGAATTAAAGCAATGGGAAGAGACAGGGTAGCCTGACCTAGTAAAAATTAAACGTCCAAGAGGTAGATGGGAAAAGCAATTTGATTGACTTGTCACATTGTCCTTATCATCTCCTTTCTATTGGGATGACAAAAGCAAATGGCTCCATTTGTCTATTTATTCTGTTCATTTAAAACTACATCCATCTTTGCAATAGAACTTTCTCTTATACAAGAGTAGAAACTGATCCATTTGTCTTTCTGTTTAAACAAGAGGTCTCCCCTGTAAGCCATCACTGGGCTTAGAGCACCTCTTTTCCCTGAGGAGCCTTACTCGGGAATTTGGTTCCATTGAAGGCTGGGGAAAGCAGGAACCCATCTGAGTTCTGAGAAACAGGGCATCGGTTATATCTGCTTTCACTTCAAAGACAGGATGATGCCCAGAAGCACAAAGTTTTGTACACAAGTCCAGCCTACAACCAGTAGATCCTGTAAAGTGACACAGATGCCATCCCACAGTTCTGGGGGCAGCCTTGCTTAATATATTCATTCTTTGGTACCGAGTTACAGGTTTAAGAAGATATGACATCCTACATGTTAGGTTGGGGTGATTTCGTTTACAGATTTGTTACATTCAAAGGCCTTGGGGGAGAAAATTCACGTTAACCATAAGGCCCTACAGCATGGCTCGGGTGCAAACGATTCTGCAAAAGTGACCCGAGCAGAGGGTGTGGGCATGGGCTGTCCTATTAATTTGAGGTTCAAACATTCTATTTCCCTGAACTTCCAAAGCAGGAAAAAATTGTGCTTGTAAGTTAAAAGTTCGTTTCTTTGTCTATTCTTCTTAGGAAAAAGGAAACTCCTAGCCCTACAGAATAACATTCACTCCTGGCCCTTCCTGCAGAGTCCCTAGTTAGGGGGTACCTGGCTTCTTCTGGGTGCTCTGTATACACTCCCCCCACCATTCATGTCCATAATCAGCCCATGTCTGAAAACCCTCTCTCTGAGAATGCGTAATTTTCTTCTTCCTTCCATTTTAACTCTATAACCAACAGCAAAATAAGAATAATTTGAGAATACTTTTTTCATCAAAAATCCTGAGCTACATCTATCTTTTAGAAATCAAAGTGTTTTGAAAGTAAAAGGTTCTCTGGGAGGTGGTGTGTCATTTCTCACTCAACTTCTTGGGTGCAAGATGGCTTTAAAAGAAACACACATACATACACACACCTGTTCCCTTAAAAGAAATAAGATTATATACCCTAAAATATAAATGGTCTGCTTTTCTTGGCTAGCAAGCCACAGCCACAACTTCTAGGATTAAGAAAAGATGCTGAAGATGTAAAAGACACTGAGGTATAAAAGAACAGAGGAAAGTTCCCTGTTGCAGCATTTAAAAAAAAAAAAAGAGAGAGAGAGAGAAAAAAAGGTTGCCCCAAAAGATCAAAATAACACAATCTAATCCCACATAAAAACAGCATTCTCAAGAACACAGATACTCTATAATTATGCATTTTAAATCCTATTTTCCCATGTTTTACAGCTTTTTTTACTTAGTAGTTTTTTGTGTTTCCTTGGCTCAATCTACAGAGTACACCCCACCACACACATCCAGTGCCCTCCCAGCCACAGATGCTAGGCTTGTGCATTATCATGCCCTGCGTGGGGGAAGAGGGAGATGTGAACCACGCTGAGGGGGGAAGAGGGTCTGTTGGAGAAGGAAATGCAAAAGATTTATGAGGTAGATAGAAATCATCACTTCACAGGCTCAATCCCTGCAGAAAAGATAAGTACATTCATCTGTAAAAAAATAAAGATGAGGTAGGACTTAAGCAATGTTGTACGTTTCTTGTTCTCTTAAAAAAAAAAAAAGGAAAGAAAGAAAGAAAGAAATTTCCCTGAGACTGTTTTCTTCTTTGAAATTCAAAAAGAGAGAAATAAAGAGAGAGACATACGTGCGCACAAACCCGCCCCCCACAGAAACCTAGAAAATGCCATTAGAAGACGAGGATTCGATTGTTGCCAAAGTCTACGACGACGATCATTCCATCAGGGGTGACAGCAATCCCAGAGGGGCGGTCCATCTGCCCAAAGCCGCTGCCTTGGGCCCCAAACTTGCACAGGAAGCTGCCATTGGACTCAAACATCTGTACCCGGTGGTTCCTGGAATCCGCCACGATGATGCGCCCTTCCTGGTCCACAGCCACACCTTGTGGGCGTAAGAACTGCCCATTGCCGGTGCCCTCTGACCCCAGGAAGCGTGCTGATTGGCAGTCAGGGTGAATGACCAAGAGCCGGTGGTTGTTGAAGTCCGTGACCACCAAGTGGCCCTCATGGTTGAAGGCCACACCCCGTGGGGAGTCAAAGTGCTTCCAGAGAGCCCCCTCGAAGCCGTACTTATTTAGGAAGACCCCATCGGGCCCAAACAGCTGGATCCGGTGGTTCCGTGTGTCTGAGACCAGGATCTTGCCCTCGGAATTCACTGCCACATCCCATGGGTAGTTGAACTGCCCGTTCTTGGTTCCCTTCTCACCAAACTTGAGCAGGAACTGGCCTTCGAAAGTAAAGACTTGGATGCGATGATTGTCCTTGTCAGCCACCACGATCCTGCGTGAGGCATCACAGGCCACCCCAGCTGGTCGGTCGAACTGCCCAGGCCGAGAGCCCAGGGTGCCGAATTTGTGGTGGAAGGCGCCACAGGGCTTAAACACCTGGATGCGGTTGTTGCTGCGGTCGGCAACAATGATGTAGCCCTCCCTGTCTACGCTCACACCCCAAGGGCGGCAGAGCTTGCCGTCACTGTCGCCCTCACTGCCAAAGCTCAGGCCTGGGAGCCCGATGCCCACGTAGCTGCGGCCTGACTTGACCACCACCTTGAAGGGACTGTTCTCAATGTGCTGGTTGCACATGGTCACGGATATGAGGTGCTCGCCTTCCAGCTGGGGCCGGTAGCTCACCACATAAGTCCCATTCTGCTGATCACTCACATCTGCACCAAACAGGTTGCCATCTGGGCCCAGGACCACAGCTGACATCAGGTCACCTCCAGAGAGGCGCGGCTCACCATCGTGGTCATAGCCGATGACAGTAAAAGAGGCCACCTTACCTTGGAGGGCCCGCTTGAGGCCATCCCCCGTGGCCTTGGTGAGTGGCGCAAAGGCCCCACTGCTAACGAAGCCAAAGGACTTAATGGCAAGGTAGAGGGCCTGGTCAGGGGGTGTGAACATGACTCGGTCATCTTCCTGGGGCTGCAGGAGACTCCGCACAGTCTTCAGCTCCTGTACCTGGGCCAGCATCCGGTCTCGGGCCAACAGGATGTCCAGTGCCCTACCCTCCTCCAAGACCTGCTGGACAGCACTGATGGTGCTCTCAAGCTTATTAAGGTTTTGCCGCAGCTTCTCTACCTGCAGATATAGAGACTTGGCTTTCACCTGGCGGATCTTCTCTACCTGCAGGGAAAGATGAGGGGAGAGATAGAGAGAGACATGGAAGCTTACCAGTGAGCATGGAACACAACACATACCCACAACTAAGCAGGAGGAAGCCTAAGACAAACCATACAGGACAGTCTCTAAGATACAACTGGCCAGCCCTCTTCAAAAATGGCGAAATCAGAAAAGGCCTGGGAACTGTTCTGGGTTACAGAAAATGACTACTAAAGATATAATGATGACTAAATGCAATGAGTGACTCTGGGCTTGAGGAGAAATATTAAGATCACTATTGGGACGACTGCTGAAGCGTAACTATGGACTAAGGATTAGGTATCAGTCTGTATCAAGATTAAGTTTCCTCATTGGGCAATTGCGCTGTGATTTTGTAAGAGAACGTCCTCATTTAAGGAGACAATAGTAAAGTATTTAGGTTAAAAATGTTTTGTGTCGGCTCAGCGCCTGTGGCTCAAGCGGCTAAGGCGCCAACCACATACACCTAAGGTGGCGGGTTCGAATCCCTAGCCCGGGCCCGCCAAACAACAATGATGGTTGCAACCAAAAAATGGCCAGGCATTGTGGCAGGCGCCTGTAGTCCCAGCTACTTGGGAGACTGAGGCAGGAGACTTGCTTGAGCCCAGGAGTTGGAGGTTGCTGTGAGCATGATGCCATGGCACTCTACCCAGGGGGATAGCTTGAGGCTCCGTCTCAAAAAAAAAAAAGTTTTGTGTCCAACATACTGGCTATCAAATCATACACATATATACACATACAGAAAAATAAAACAAATAGAGAATAATATAAATATTCAGTAAATCTAAGTAAAGGATATATGTAGTTATTATGGTAACTTGTTTGTAAGTTATAAATTAAATAAAAATAAAACTTAATAATATACCTATGCAGCTGGTATGGTAATGTACACCTATAGCCCATCCCAGCTACTCAGGAGGCTGAGGTACAAGGATCTCTAGAGTCTAGAAGTTCAAGGCTGCAGTATGGAGCGCTATAATCACACTTGTGAATAGCCTCTAAATTCCAGCCTGGTCTCTACGGAGCAGCCACCATCTGACAAACACTGTATCTAGCACCTTCTCTGAACCAGGGATTGAAGGGGGAGCCAGATGTATGGCTCATGCCTATAATTCCAATACTCTGGGAGGTTAAGGTAGGAGGATCAGGCTCGGCGCCTGTGGCTCAAGCAGCTAAGGTGCCAGCCACGTACACCTAAGGTGGCAGGTTCGAATCTAGCCGGGGCCCGCCAAACAGCAATGATGGCTGCAACCAAAAAATAGCCACGCGTTGTGGCGGGTGCCTGTGGTCCCAGCTACTTGGGAGGCTGAGGCAGGAGACTCGCTTGAGCCCAGGAGTTGGAAGCTGCTGTGATCCGTGATGCCACAGCATTCTACTCAGGGGGACAGCTTAAGGCTCTGTCTCAAAAAAAAAAAAAAAAAGAGGATCACTTGAGCTAGGGACCTCAAGACCAGTCTGAACAAGAGCAAGACCCTGACTCTACCAAAAATAGAAAAATTAGCTGGAGGGCTGAGTAGTAGCTGAGGTCTGTAATCCTAGCACTCTTGGAGCCCAAGGCAGGTGGATTGCCTGAGCTCAGGAGTTCAAGATCAGCCTGAGCAAGAGTGAGACCCCATCTCTAAAAATAGTTCAATGTTGTAGCAGATGCCTGTAGTCCCAGCTACTCAAGAGGCTGAGGCAAGAGGATCACTTGAGCTCCAAAGTTTGAAGCTGCTGTGAGCTATGATGCCATAGCACTCTGCCAAGGGCAACAAAGACAGACTCTGTGTCAAAAGAAAAAAAAAATTAGCTGGGCATTGTGGCAGGTATTTATATAGTCCCAGCTACCCAGGACCCTGAGGTAGGAGAGTTGCGTGGAGCCAGAAGTTTGAGGTTGCTATGAGGTAGGCTGACACCACAGCATTCTAGCCTGGGGCAAGAGCCAAGGCTCGGTTTCCCACCCCCTAAATAATAAAGCCCCCTAATTCTAAGCAATTTCTCCCTGTGAAGAAAATCCACCCAAAACAGTGAAGTTCGCACTGTTGAACAGGAGGACCATGACTTCTGCGTGCTCTACAGATCTGAGTGGTCAGTCCCCTGTTGGGAAACCCAACTGTCCTTGCTGGGGACGGCATGGTGACATATAATTTTGACCTTCTCGTGCTTTAACATCTGGTCATTCTAGAACCAGAATATGTATACAGAGGGGGCTGTTAGGGGACATAATAGAAGAACTTCTGTCCTTTGGGCCAAATTTCCACCTTTGGTTCTGGCCCAAGATAGGCTTAGCTGCATCTAAACCCCCAAAGTAGCCAAGTCCAATGGAAATTTCTATGGCCCAAGAATGATGAGGTACATCCAGGCACATAAAACTGGGTTGCCTTAATCCTTGCACGAATGTGTTTTCATGTTTAGTAAATAGGGATGCAAGAAAACAAAAGATATAACAAAGAGACGTCCAGAGACAAGGTAAAAGGCTTTACTGGAAAAGGAGCAGAAAAATGAGGGTGGCGGGTTAGAACCTGGCCCAGCTAAAACAACAATGCCAACTGCAACAAAATAATAGCCAGGGCTTGGTGCCTATAGCTTAGCAGCTGAGGCACTGGCTACATGCACTGGGGCTACTGGGTCTGAACCCAGCTCGGGCCTGCCAAATAACAACAACTACAACAAACAAAATAGCTGGGCATGGCTTGGTGCCCATAGCACAGTGGTTATGATGCCAGCCACATATACTGAGGTCGCAGGTTCAAGCCCAGCTGGGGCCTGCTAAATGACAATGACATCTGCAACAACAACAGCAACAACAAAAAGTAGCCGGGCATCGTGGTGGGTGCCTGTAGCCCCAGCTACGAGGGCTGAGGCAAGAGAATTGCTTAAGCCCACGAGTTTGAGGTTGCTGTGAGCTGTGACACCATGGCACTCTACCCAGGGCAATAGCTTGAGACTCCACCTCAAAGGAAAAAAAAAAAAAAAAAAAAAAAAAAAAAAATAAAAAAAAAAAAAAAAAAAAAAAAGAAGAAGAAGAAGAAAGAAAGAAACATGAGTAACCAGTGAGAGGGAGGGACTCCCCCAGAATTTGGGGCAAAGTTCCATAGCAAAAAATAAAGATAAAGACTAAGGTATAGCTCAGCGCCTGTGGCTCAAGTGGCTAAGGCGCCAGCCACATGCACCTAAAGTGGTGGATTCAAAACCAGCCCTGGGCCGCCAAACAACAATGACAGCTGCAACCAAAGGCCGCCAAACAACAATGACGGCTGCAACCAAAAAATAGCTGGGCGTTGTGGTGGGCACCTGTGGTCCCAGTTACTTGGGAGGCTGAGGCAGGAGACTCGCTTGAGCCCAGGAGTTGGAGGTTGCTCTGAGCTGTGATGCCACGACACTACCCAGGGGGACAGCTTGAGGCTCTGTCTCAAAAAAATAAAAATAAAAATAAAAATAAAAGACTAAGGTGTATGTCTAGATAATAAGCAAGCTTATTTTTGGAATAATTTGAGAATAAGTTTTTAGGCAAGAAGTAATGGTTTATTACATGAAGAAGAAATGAACTCTTCTTCCAAACATGTTTCTTTTAGGAGTAAAAACTATTTCTTCTAACCACCCTGAGGTATCATTTAACCCCAGTGAGAATGGCCTATATCACAAAATCTCAAAACTGCAGATGCTGGCACAGATATGGAGAGAAATGAACACTTTTACACTGCTGGTGGGACTGCAAACTAATACAACCTTTTTGGAAGGAAGTATGGAGAACCCTCAAAGAACTCAAATTAGACCTCCTGTTTGATCCTGCAATCCCATTATTGGGCATCTATCCAGAAGAAAAATAAACTTTTCTTATAAAAAGACATTTGTACTAGACAAGTTTATTGCAGCTCAATTTACAATTGGTAAAATGTGAAAACAGCCTAAATGCCCTTCAACCCAGGAATGGATTGGCAAGCTGTGGTATATGTATACCATGGAATACTATTCAGCAATTTAAAAAATGGAGATTTTGCAGCATTTTGTATTAACCTGGATGGAGGTGGAACACATTATTCTTAGTGAAACATCACAGGAATGGAAAAGCATGAATCCTATGTGTTCAACTTTGGTATGAGGGCAATTAATGACAAGGGGCATGGGGGAAGGGGAGAGCAGACAGAGAAAAAGGGAGGGGATGAGGGAAAGGAATAGAAAAAAAAAGAAAATACTAATTCTCACATAAATTGGATTTGGATTTAATTTTGACCAAAGTACATTACTTAAAATTTTTTTTTTTAAAAGAAAGAGTCTTCATCGCCCTCAGTAGTGTGCTGTAGCATCACAGCTCACAGCAACCTCCAGCTCTTGGGCTTAGGTGATTCTCTTGCCTCAACCTCCTGAGTAGCTGGGACTACAGGTACTTGCCACAACACCCAGCTATTTTTTTGTTGCAGTTCAGCCAGTGCTGGGTTTGAACCCACCACCCTTGGTATATGGGGCTGGCGCCCTACTCACTGAGCCACAGGGGCCACCCTAAACATTAATTTTTAATTCAACTTGTTAATATGTTGTTTATGGTATTGCATCCTCATTTATAAGTGAAATGTTTGTGATTTCTTTATAATATATTTTTTCCAATTTTAATATCAGGTGTATCCAGATGAAGTAGAATAATTTT